CACGTTATGGTAGCAAAAGTTCGGGGTCTGAGAAAAATGGAAAATGAAGGTTTTCACAGAACTATTTGTTCACGGTGGCGGCAGGTGCAGAAAAAAAGAAGTCAGTTAATTATTCATGGTAATGATTAGTTCGTGGTACAGAAGTGACCATGAAAAACGAGAACATAAAAGTATCGTGAAAAATCAGGAATTACAGTACCCTCGCAGAAGGAAAACATATTGTTTTTGCTTCGTTTGGTCTTCCTCGTTCCAAACAAATCAGGTCAATGACCTGAACAAGATGGCTGTTACCGTGGTAACTAGTGCTGTAGCAGACACCCTGTGATGTTGGACCACATTATGTATAGCAAGTGGCAGGACAGTTGGAGGGATGGTCTCCATCTATGTGAATGTGTTTGAGTAAGAATAAACAGTAGTTTGTTGGGCTAGACCCATGTGGAGGTAAACATTATGCATTTTCTTTGCAAATATTTCCTTTCTGGTTAATTTATTTTCTTCTCATGTAGTTTCATCGTGTATTTTATGAGGATTGGGCATAAGAGGAGTTACCCCTTCATACATTCATTTCCTATAACATCTTCATACACATCGGTATATAGAATGAATAAGCTGAGTGAGTAGAACCTTGGATGCTGTCTCTTGTGGCCCTTAAGCTCTGAAGTGGAAATAGGAGGTCGGGAAAAATTAACTAGGCGAGGCAGAGTATTGTGGCACAAATATTATCAACAAATGGATTAGTTTAATGTAGAGGGGATTTGAAAAGACAGATGAGAGTAATTTACCAAAGGAGTAATGAACTGTGTGTGACCTAGTGCACTGTGGTACCAATTAAACCTTTTAACAATTATATTGGCAACAACAGATGACTGATGAGAACTGAAATCTGAATAGTTCATGCTAACTCTTTATTTCCATTTCCCATTAATTTTGCTGCCATAACTGTGTGTGACCTAGTACACTGTGGTACCAATTAAACCTTTTAACAATTATATTGGCATAAACAGATGATTGATACGGGCAGGGCTTTAGCCAGCGCCCGTTTTACCGTCAATTGACGGTAATTTGTCCCGTGTGACGGTAAAAATTTAAGTCCTTACCGTCAACATTGACGGTCAAAAATCGTGGGTAAGGACATAGAAAAAATCTAGCGAATTTGAATGAGCCACGGTTAGGCGTCTTTTCCAAGCGCGCGGTGTCTTTTCCAAACGCACGGCGGCGGGAAACCTGACTTCAAGGACCGTGCCGACGTCTGTTGACTCGGTTCTATTCTTCAATGTTGCTGTCTGTTAAAACAACATGTGCTAACGGCCACATAAGAATAAAATAAAACAATGGCTCGACTCAGACACACGCTGCTAGCTGTACATGACAATACGATAAATAAACATGTGACAACGAACAAAGAAAAATCAAACGTTTTGAAAATGTACTGTACTTGAATAATCATACTATCGCAAGAAAACAGAGATCGATCCACACAAAGTGGCCTTATTTAATATAAAACTTCGTCAGATCTCCTTCGAAGACTTGAGCGGCAACATAAAGGGCATAAAGATTTCTGGAGGATCGCCGACACGCGAGTTTTTGCCGGCCACGTAACTCCCTCCGCGGCAAAATCCCCTATGCCGTAGCGAAATCGCATCTCAGCGCTTCCCCCAAATCAACTTCATGGCCGCTTAAGTCTGCAAAGGAGCTTAAACTTCCTCATTTCGGTTGAGAAGCAAAGCTACAAGTGTAAAATCATGTAACGTTACATGTCGGCCATTTTGTTTGCTACCCAAAGTCTTCCTAATGCTCTAAATAAGGAAATCGTCGGAAATCTGAGCCACATCGCCCGTTGTCGGTCAGCACTCGGGGCCGGCTCGGTGGAAATCGGAGGCTGTGACGTCATGACTGGGGAAGCCGCCGCGGCTTATAGCATAGCTTGAATCGGGGCGGGATTTGAGCGGGTCAAAACAAAAGGAATAGCGGATTGTTCATTGCGTGTTGTCTCCTTGTGAGAACTATAGATTTTTTTTCATTCTGAAAAATTGCAGATTGTGTAATTTTTTTTTTAATTCTGCAGTCTTCTCGGGTATTTAGAACACTGAATGCATGAAGTGTGCGGGAGGGCGTGATGTCGGCATTGACGGAATTTTTTTTTCGCGTTGACGGTAATTTTTTTTCGCGAATTGGGTTGACCTAGGGTTGACGGTAAAAAATTTCGAGCTGGCTAAAGCCCTGGATACGGGGCACCACTGAAAAGCAGTGTTATCACTGAGTGGGCAACCCTGCACTGATATGATGGAAAATAAATAAAAATTATATTATAGATTGATGGGGGAGGAATGAAGTCTGAATAGACTCTTTATTTCCATTTCCCAACAATTTTGCTGTTGCCTTGACTGCGCATGTTCTCAGTGGACTTCAAACCAGCAAGCAAGTTCTGTTTATAATGATTGTGGTTATTTTAATCCTGAGCAAACTACAAGCATACTTTAAACTCAATTGGTCTGATCAGTGGTTTAAAATCATCTTTATCACAATGAATATACAAGATGAAATCATTGCTTGGGTAAAGCCCAGGTCAGCCCTTTTTCTCTTAATACAGCACAAAGAGGAGGGCGCAAGGCAAGTACGACAAATACAGTTTACAAGTTACTATGTGCTTCGGATATTTTGGTGTTTCAATCTAAAATTATTTTTACACATAAGTACTTGCATCATGCACACATGTGATCCTGAGGACTCTGAAGTTTGAACATAACTTAAACAAATGGCTCTGATAAAAACTCTCGGATCGAGCTTTCAATTTCCCTTGACTATGATGTGTGTAAAATCAATGACAAACCAGCAAGCAAGTTCTGTTTAGAACAAGGTTATTTTGATTCTAAGCAAACTACAAGCATACTTTAAACTTGGTTATCAGGCACACAT